AGCCAATATTTTATTCAACTTTATAAGACAAAGTCCAGAAATGTTAGACTTGGATGATGAAATGATAGATCAGTGGAGATCAGACTCCATAAATTGTGAGTGTTCTTTTAAATAGTCTGCTTTTTACACTATGATTGAGATCTTAGTTATCAGTTCTATCTTTTAAAGAGTAGCCACACCTTATAACTGATTGGAACTTTGCTTAAACAACTATTTTATCTATTTATATAAAAAAATCATACATCATGTTTTGGACAAATTGGAGAAATAATAGTTTTAAAATAAAGAATAATACAGGGATATATTCAGCCCCTGTAGTGTTGGCTAATGAATACAAGGTTAGGCCAGTCTGAGAAATCAGATCATATAAAAATAACAATTCTGGATTATATCCACAAATGAGGAAACAATTGTAAAATTCACTGAAATGGGTGAAAGTTTTCTAAATCACACAACATGCTAACCCAGAATATAATTAGTTTATGGCTTAGTACAACACTGAAAAACTTATGACCATGTTTCATAGTTACAACCTTTGCAGCATCCCCATGATGATGTGATCAAAATTCAGATAGTTGGCAACAAGGTTCAATACTTATGATCGTGGCTGTGTCCCAAGGTCATGTTGCGACTTTCTAACAAGCACAATCAATGGGGAAGCCAGATTCACTTAACAACTGAGTTACTCACTTTATCAACTGCAGTGATTCACTTAACAACTGAGGCAAGAAATGTCATAAAATGGGGGAAAACTCACTTTATGAATGTCTCACTTAACAACAAAATTGTGGTCATAAGTTGAGGACTACTTGTATCATGTATGCATCTAGCCACTGTGATTTATAAATCATGGTTATTACATCATTTGGTTATTTTAGGAATTTGGGGGTCATTTAGAGAACCAGTTTGGTGTAGTGGTTAAAGTGGTGATTTAGAAACCAGGGGACTGAGTTCTATTCCTGCCATAGGCATGAAAGCCAGCTGATTTGGGGCCAGTCTCTGTCTCTCAGCTCAACCCACCTCATAGGGAGGTTGTTGTGGAGAAGATAGGAGGAGGAAAGTGTATTCTGTATGTTCCCTTCCTTGATTTACTTATAAAGTAATAAAAGGCAGGATGAAAATGTAATAAATAAATAACATCACACTGTTCTTAAGAGCCAACTGGCTTTGCAGAGTGAACTATTCATGTCTGAGTCTTTAGTATAAGTTCTGTTGTTTTCAGATGTGCTTTTCCCCCCCCCCCCCATTTTTTTTTTAATCTATAGTGCAGACAATAATTGACGTTTATACAGTGGAACAGTTGAAGATGAAAACTTTGCAAAATGGAGGAAAACCAGAACCATTTTATGGCATTATTTTTGCCTATATTTCTACATTGAATATTGATAATGAAGCAAGCAAAGTAATACGAAACAGATGGTAAGCACCTCGTTAAGGGGAACTGAGTAGTATTGTGGACATTTATTCTCTTTCAAATTAGCCTGGAAAACCATTGAATTTGTACATTGAAACAAACCCTCTTGGCCCTGCCATCTAACCCCCTGCTCAGGGCAGTAAGCCTAATTAAAGCATGCCTGCCAGATGGTTAGCCAGCTTCTGCTTTAATCTATTCAGTGAAGTCTACTATCTCCTTTGATTATGGATTCAACTGTCAAACTGCTTTCCATTCATCGGTGTGCTTAATTTGAAAAAAAAAAAGAGCTGCCACAGAAAAATCCATTTGAAAACCAGTTAACTGTGTATACCTATTAATATGTTTCTTTCTTTTTTCCTTTGTAGTGTTAAATGCCACTATGTTATCAATGAAAAGACAAATACATGTTCTTTTTGTAGTAGCACTAACTCCTTAGATGCTGGCACTGTGCCAATGTTTGCCAGCTTTGATTTACTAGTTGACCTAACTGACCATACAGGAACTCTTCACTTTTGCAGTCTCTCCGATACAATAGCGGAAGAAACTTTAGGTCACACGGTAAGAACATAGGAAGTAGTTTTCTACTTCCTGAATTTATTCTTTTAGGTTTGATATGCCAGTAAAAACCTTGGAATTTCTCATCCATGTTTGAGGCCAATTTGTCGGAAACTTGTGGATACCAAAAGGCTTGTAAGTCTGCTGCATTTAATAAAGTGGGCACTATTCAGTTAAAAGCTATTCCAGCTTAAATTTAATAAACTTTTATGATATCAAAAGGCTTCACTGTTAGCTATCACAAGTTAGATATCAAAAGACTTCATCTGAGCCAGTTTAGCTTAGTGGTGAAGGCACCAGGCTAGAAATCCAGAGACTGTGAATTCTGGCCTTAGCCATGAAAGCCAGCTAGGTAATTTCAGGCTGGTCACTTTGTTTCAGCCCAACCTACCTCACAGGGTTGTTTTTGGGAAAATAGGAAAGGTGTGTTGGATATGTTCCCAAATTATTTCTAAAAATAATGAAGACAGGATGCAAACCAACAGTTTTGCTTCACATGTATTATGAGCATTCTATAGCAATCAATTGGATATAAATAATTTATTCCTGAGGTAGCATTTATATTGAAGTGATAATTACAGATGCTTAATAATTTTGTTTCATTTTAATGTATTTTCTTTCCAGACAAATTAGGAAAATGGCCTTTACTGCTTTATTTGCCCTGCAGGAAATTTAGCGAAAGCTAAAGCTGATCACATTCTGGAGATGAACATTTTATTGTTGAATTATGTTTGATAGCAGACCTACTTGTAGTTTTAACAAACTGATCTTTGATTACTTCACTAGGTCCAAGAATTTCAAGCTTTGACAGAGACACAAAAGACAACATTAAAATGGCAACTCCTTCTAGAAAGAAGCAAAATTTATTTTAAGGTAAGTGTAATAAATAATAATAAAGCATGATTAACCAGTGGAACAGCTTGCCTCCAGAAATTGTGGGTATTCCATCACTGGAGGTTTCTAAGAGACTGGGCAGTATAGGTTCTCCTGTTTGAACAGGAGGCTGAACTAGAAGACCTCCAAGGTCCCTTCCAACTCTTCTCTCCTCTCCTCCTTTTCTCTCCTCGCTTCTGAATTCTATTCTACTTTATTCTGTTGTATTCTATTCTAAATTCTATTCTATTTTCTATTTTCTTTACTATTCTATTCTCTTTTCTTTTCTTTTCTATTTTTATTCTATTAAAATATAAAAGAGCCAGTTTGATGTAGTGATTAAGATGCTGATCTAGAAACTAGAAGATTGAATTCAAGGCCTTCTTCAGCTGTGAAAGCCAGCTGGGTTTTGGCCATTCACTCATTCTCTCAGCCCAGTCTCACTTCATGCAGGTTATTGTGGGGAAATAGGAGGCAGGAATATTAAGTATGTTTGTTGCTTTGACTTTAAATATATCTAATAATAGAATAATAAAATAATCAAAATGTGGATTGTGCAGAAGAAACACTACATCATATACTGAGTTTGTAAAAACTGATTATAAAAAAAAATCAGTCACCAAAATGATTCATTAGATCATCTGTAAAAATTATGTTCCAGCAGAGATAGTTCTCGACTTACAACCACAACTGTGTCCAAATTTTTTGTTGCTAAGTCAGACAGTTAACTGAGTTATGCCCCATTTTATGACTTTTCTTGCCATAATTGTTAAGTGAATTGCTACAACTATTAAGTTAATGACATGGTTATTAAGTGAATCTGGTTTCCTCGTTGACTTTGGTTGTCGGAAGGTCGCAAAAGGGGATCATGTGACCTTGGGACACTGCAACCATCATAAATATGAACCAGTTGCCAAGCATCTGAATTTTGATCATGTGACCATGGGGATGCTGCAACAGTCATGTGAAAAATAGTCATAAGTCACTTTTTTCAGTGGTGTTGTAACTTTCAGTGGTCACTAAACAAATATTTGTAAGTTGAAGACTCTCAGTATGGCATCCTGGAAAGAGCTTTGAGCCAACATCAGCTGTGATTCCACATTGTTGATTATAATTACACAGTAATACAGTCCTAAAGATACCACTATTTCTTACAACTTGACCAGTCTACTAACATCTCAAAATCTATGATCAGTTTCTCCCACTGAATGAAAACTGATCTGCAAGAAAAAGACATTTCTACAATATTTTGGAACCCAGTATCCAGAAACTTTAAAAACCAAAGATTTTTCTAAAAAACATGGTAGTACATAATATTTACAAATTACTAAATTCATGTGTGTAACTGCTCAAATATATTTTGTCAAGATTCTCTAGCAGTAAATGCTAGAGAAATACAACAAATGGAACAGAGGGTGCTTCCATGCTTTTCTAATAAATACTATTTATGAGACAATCTACATAACGTAAAATGTTTAGCCTGTTAACCTAGAACTTGTGAAAAGAGGGGAAAACCTTTAAATATTGTTTGTAAAAGTGGTGATTTGTACATTTACTCCCATAGGTTATTTTTTCTACCACAGCACGAACTGGGCTAAGAGTGAAACTGCTTTCTTGCAAGCTAGCAGATCCAGTGGAGGCTTGTCAAAACTTACCTGAAAAAGGAAAATAACTACATTATGCATCTTTAGAACAATTGGAAGGAATTCTTATTTTATCATAGCATGGTGAGATGACGTCTGTGGTAGGGAATGCAGACTCCGTGCAAAGGCTTGTAAAATATACTTTATTAAGGTGGCAAGATTTTATCTGGCTTTGAAGAGTTTCACTTTCCAATTTAGTTTTCCATTATAATGTGGAAGGAATATATGTTTTCAATATTCTTCACAAGCATGTTTAATTTCAGATGATCTCAAAAAGGAAGGATATTCAGGATTTTTTGTGGTGAGAGATAGTTCAGTAGCTTAGAGTTTCAGCTGGGAGTGAAGCACCATCTACACGTGTTGCACAAACCACAAATTTATTATGTGTAATGAAGGAGTATCTTATCTTAGCACTTTTCCATTTCCCCCCTTTAAGTGTTCAACAGGGAAAATATACCTATGACCTGTTTCAAAAATGCTAACTATATTTTGTTTCATAGATAACAGGCAAGTAGTATTATGAACTGACTGGCATTTATTCACAGAAGCAAAAAGACAACTTTTGGGTTCATTTCAAAATGCTGTTAAAATCTCATCATATAAAATATATTTTTAAACAATATAATTGGCTGCAAAATTCCTTCATTACTTGGTTTTAAGGAAGGTAGATTATAACTATAGGATACTAAGTGTTTTGTGGTCTTAAAAAATATTTAGGCTTTCTGTTTATAGCTACAGGCTGGCCTTTTCCAGACAAGCCAGGAATAGAAAATAGACAACCAATATAGCTTCTAAACTTGAGCTTGCCAAAAGGAAACAACCTGGATATCTTATTTGCAAGCCATAGCAAAAGGATTCAAGTGTTAAGGTCTGTTTACCTGCTCCAACTAGGCAACTGGTATATGTTTGTCAGCATATTGCTATATTCTGGTCAATCTTATATGGAAATAAAGTCACTTTATCTGGTACACAATAGGTTGGGATCTCTGTAGGTGGCACTCTGTGAGAGAGAAGGACATATCATTGGAGACTCTCCTGAAAGCCTACTATTGGGGGATGGGGAAGAAATCTGGCCCTTTGTACGACCCTCTTTTTTCTTCCAGAGAAAAGTCCCAAGGGTGCTTTTTAGTCTTCGAAGTGAAATGTCTTTTTAAGGAAAAACCAAGAAAGTCCAGTTGATATTTTTGAAAAAGCACCTTTGGGACAACCCTGACCTGGATGATAGAGTATAATCTCCCTGGGTGTTTCCAGAGAAAAGGATCTTCCACCCATCAGGGCCGGCTTTTCTGCCGCGCTACCTGAAAGCGTATGCTCAGCAGCCCCTCAATCCCGGCTTCTATTTCATCCTCCTCTTGCACAGCCGCAACTCCTTCGGGGGATCCCGTTAAGACGATATCCCCTTCTTCCAAGGTGACAATTCCGCTGATGTAGCTGATGAGGTACGGAATGGTGAAAATCATGGCGGACGTGTTCCCTTCTTGCCGTAACTCCCCATTCACCTTTAGCCAGATCTTCAACCGATGCGGATCTGGGACTTTCTCCTTGGGCACGAAGTCGCTCACCGGACAGGAGGTATTGAATCCCTTGGCCAGAGTCCAAGGGAGCCCTTTCTTCTTGCACTCCTCCTGAGTATCCCTGGCTGTCATGTCCAGGCAGAGAGCGTAGCCTGCCACGTGACCCATGGCTGCTTCCTGAGGGACGGCCTGGCTTCTCTTCCCAATCACCACGCCCAGTTCCACCTCGTGGTGCAGCTTCTCGCAGTAGTAGGGCTGGATGATGGGGTGGCCTTCCCTGACGTAGGCCGAAGAGGGCTTGAGGAAGAAGAGCGGCTCAGCGGGGAGGGCATTCTTCAACTCCTTGGCATGGGCGGCGTAATTCCTCCCCACACAGAAGATGTTCTTGCCCCACTCCCAGAACCTGCCTATGGGCTTAGAGGAGGCCATGGTGCAGTTCTCAGCTCTCCAAACAGTCCACTCTGGAGGCAGCAGCAGCTCTGGTGGAGCTTCACGTGAAGACCAAGAGTTTCTCCACACAGCAGTCTGGATCCTGATTTCCAGTCTGGAGGGGGGGGGAGAAAAAAATCAATAATTTATAGGGTTTGGGCATTTTTCCCACACAGCTTCATTTTTATTTTTTATTCACTTAAAAGTTCTGCACCCAGGTCATATACAGGTAGTCCTCGACTTTCAGCAGTTCGTTTAGTGACCGTTCAAAGTGACACTGAAAATTGTGGCTCATGCCTGTTTTTCAAAAGTTATGACTTTTGCAGCATCTCCATGATCACATCAGAATTCAGAGGCTTGGCAACTGGTTCATATTTATGACGGTTACAGCATCCTGGGGTCACGTGATCCCCTTTTGTGACAAGCAAAGTCAACAGGGGAGCCACATTCACTTAACAACCAGGTTACTCACCGATCAACTGCAGTGATTCACTTAGCAATTGAAGCAAGATAGGTTGTAAAATTGGGCAAAACTCACTGAACAAACATCTCATTTAGCAACAGAAATGTTGGGCTCAGTTGTGGTCGTAAGTCGAGGACTACCTGCATTTCTTCGCTAGTTTACACAGTGGACAAATTAGAAAAAAACCTCAAGCTGGCCTACATTAAAAACGAAACCAAAGCAATCCGAATGCCAGAGGTACAAAATGAAATGATGCTCTGACCACGAGAGGCATGCTGTGGGCCCCACAAGTGAAAAGAGTGCATAGTCCAGAAAGTGTGCTGATTCTGTGCCAGCACCTGCTTTTTGGACACCAATCTCCCCCCCCCCCCCCCCCCGGATTAAATTTGCCCTGACCCTGATGATTCTTTGGAACGTGAAGACTTGGATGCCTTCTTGGCCAGGAGGGGTCAAACTCTTAGCTGGAGCCTGTGAGGTTGTTTTAAAGGCCCACACAGATGGGCCAAACAACAGACAGGTGGTCCTAGGGCCGTGATGGCAAACCTATGGCACATGTGCCAGAAGTGGCACACAGAGCCATTTCTGCTGGCACACAAGCCTGGGGTTTTCAAATCTTTTCAGCTGGGGAACCTGTCTGGAACCCCTGATCAAGGTCTAATAACAGAAAATGTGCTTTATTCAAGGGTTGGGGTTTTTTTGGGGGGTTGGGGGTTGGTTGTTGTTTGCCCCCCTTAGCCCCTAATGAAACCCCATCTTGCAAAACTCTAGAGCTCCATGGGACACAGTTTAAAAACCCCTCTGTACATAACCGGAACAAGTTCATTCCTTGTCTTTTTGAAACTTAAAGTAATTGCTAAGTCATCTAGGAAAGCAGGAATACAGATGAAATCCAGGTTTCTGCTGCTTCATGGTACATCTTATTATTCAGCAACTGCCTTCTCTCATCTGAATTTGCAGAATAACCATCCTAATCGCTGCTTCTGGCAGAAATGAACACTGCTAAACGGGGGTGGATAACAGTAATACAATAATATTAATAACATAATTATCCTTTTGCTCTTATTTTTCATTTTCTGAAAAAAAAACATTATTTTGAAGCAAGAAAAAAGCCTCCAAACGTTGAGATTGAACTCTGCTCCTCAAGAGAGCCTTCCCGCATTTGGTCACTGATTAACTATTCTTATTGGGTCAGTTTGGAGTCAAATTCTCTGGAAAGCCGCCCTATTTCAGCATGTATTGAAAACCTCAGCCTGATGTAAAATTGCAGAAGAAAACCCACCCAGATTTTGCAGAGCTTACTACCAAGAAAAGGAGAAAGCGGGGACTGACTCCCTGCCCAGGCAAGGGAACATCTGTGTGGGGCTCGACCCCAGCAAGTCTGGCTCCCACATTCACCTTCTGCTCAGCCAGAGGCTTCATTTCCAGAATAAAAAAGAACAGAGCAGAAGATAGAATAGAATGTAGAATAAGAATGGAAAACAGCAATAGCCCTTAGACTTATAGACCGCTTCACAGTGTTTTCCAGCCCTCTCTAAGCGGTTTACAGAGTCTGCCTCTTGCCCACAACAATCTGGATCCTCATTTGACCCACCTCGGAAGGATGGAAGGCTGAGCCGACCTTGAGCCTGGTGGGATTCGATCTGCCAAATTGCAGGCAGCCGGCAGGCAGCAGAAGTAGCCCTGCAGTACTTGCACTCTAACCACCGCGCCACCACAGAAATTGGAATGGAATGGGTAGCCCTTGATTTACAACAGTTCATTTAGTGACCATTCAAAGTTTCAATGGTGCTAAAAATGTGGCCAATGACCATGGCAGCCTCCCCATGGCTAAGAAATCAAAATTCGGAGGCTTGGCAAACTGGTTCGTATTTATGATGGTTTGCAGTGTCCCAGGGGTCACGTGACCCCCTTTGGTGACCTTCTCACAAGCAAAGTCAACGGGAAAGCCAGATTCACCTAACAACCGCCTTACTAACTGCAGTGATTCACTTCACAGCTGTGACGAGAAAGGTGGTAAAATGGAGCAACAACTCCCTTAAACCTCGCTTAGCCACAGGAATTTTGGGCTCAGTTGCGGTCGTAAGTCGAGGACCCCTTCAAATCACAAGATACCAGCAAGGAGAAGATGATAGGAAAATAATAGGAATAGAAGAGAATGCGGAATAGGAGGAAGGGACCTTGGAGGTCTTCTAGTCCAGCCCCCTGCTCCACTAGGAGAACCGATACCATCTCAGACGAGTGACTGTCCAGTCTCTCCTTAAAAACCTCCAGAGGTGAAGGATAATAATTAGTAATTCGGGTCAAGGAGGGAGCTGCGCCCAGCCGCCACTTACCTGCCCAGCGCGGACCATCCGGGCGCTCCTTCCTCCCTTCCCCCGCCCTTGGCACGCGCACCGCCGCGCAAGCCACGCCTGAGAGGGCGGGCCCCGCAGGCAGCGCGGCCATTGGACGGCGGCGGGGGCGGGGCGGAGGCGGGGCAGCGCGCCTGCGCCAAAGGGAGCGCCCGCCGGAGCGCCTGGGGTCGGAGCGCGCGGGCTTCGGTTGCGGCGGCGCCTCCGCCTCGGACCATGGTCTGCGCGGGCAGCGGGAGGATCGGCCCCGCTCTGCTGCTGCTGGCTGGCCCGCTTCGGAAGGGTACGTGCCGGGGAGGGCCGGGAAGGAGGCCCGCCGGCCGGGGCGGGCTCCTCCCGGGGAGGCCCCGCTGCTGCCCTGCAGGCGCCGTCCCCCGGGGAGGCTTCGGGCGCAAGAAGGGAGGGAAGGAGCCAGCGGGCCGGGCGAAGGGCGGCTGGACGGGGCTGGGTCGAAGGTCCTGCGCTCTCCTCCGCCTACCCAGCAGCCCTGGAAGCCCGCAACCGCCGCCCCAGCGACACCCGGGCGGAAGGCTTTCCCTGCCTTTTCCAGGTCAAAAGCAGAAAAATAAGGGCCGTCAAATCCGGAAAATTCCCATTGGAAATTTTCTCCCAGTCACGCTGTCAGATTTATTATCTGCTCCTCCTTCCGAAAGCGTCTCCCTTCCATTTCTATAGCAAAGGGAGCAATGACACCTATTGGGTAAAGCTTTGCTAGCCCCAACTCCTCCCGATGCCCCATTATGAAAAAGTAGGGGCGTCACACCAAGGTGGCATCCTTTTTCATTGATCAACTAACAGAGTAACAGGTGGAAGGGACCTTGGAGGTCTTCTAGCCCAACCCCCCCCCCCCCCTCAGGCAGGAAACCCCATGACATAAAATGTGTTTGAACAGATAACAGATAATCAGAGTTGGAAGGAACCTTTTAGGTCATCTAGTCCAACCCACCCGCCCAAGTGGGAGACCCTACACCATTTCTGACAGAAGAGAGTCCAGTCTCTTCTTGAAAGCCTCCAGTGATGAAGCTCCCACAACTTCCGAGGGCAACTTCTGTTCCATGGGTTGATTGTTCTCCCTGTCAGAAAATTCCTCCTTATTTCCAGGTTGAATCTCTCCTTGTTCAGTTTCCATCCATTATTCCTTGTCTGGCCTTTAGGTGCCTTGGAGAATAGCTTGATCCCCTCCTCTCTGTGGCAGCCCCTCAAATATTGGAATGCTGCTATCCTGTCTCCCCTGGTCCTTCTCTTCCCAGAGACTAGCCAGGCCCAGTTTCTGCAACCCTTCATTGTATGTTTTAGTCTCTAGTCCCCTCATCATCCTGGTTGCTCTTCTCTGTACTTTTTCTTATTAGTCTCTTGGGTTGGTAATTGGGCTGTTGGTTTGAGCCCCAAAGTTAGCAATTTGGCTGCAAATGTTTCATCACCATTCAAGGAGACATTATCAGTGCGCTTTGAGTTGTGCTCGTCTGTCAGGTCTTTAAATACCTTTTTATGAGATGCAAATTAGTCCAAATGTTGTTTGTTTAGATATCCCTATGCCATGCCAGATAAATGACTGTCCAGTCTCTTCTTCAAAGTCTCCAGTGATGGAGCCCCCACAACTTCTGAAGGCAAACTGGTTGATTGTTCTCCCTGTTAGGAAGTTTCTTTCATTTCATTCACCTCATGGCCTGGAAAACACGCTGCTGATGATTTTTAAGCCTTTTTAGCTTACATTGCAATGAATACCTGCCAATACGACATTAAAAACCAACTAGGTATTCCGTATTTTTCTGATCAAGAATATAATTTGATTTGGTCAAACTTTAATTTTAGTGTCACAATCTTTAAATGTGTTGGTTGCTCTTAATGCAAAAAAAAAAAAAAAAAAAAAAATCCCATTTGGGTGATTGGACAATAAAGAAGACAAATTTCTGGTTTGGATTATAAAACTTAAGTTCTCAGTCGCACCTCAGTTTTCAGTCGCTTGCTATGTGATTTGCCAAGGAGTGTGGCAAAAAGTTCAAAACCTTGAACCATTGGCAGGTTTTCACAAAACGAGTTGGATACGCTTTACAAGTTCCCAGCCTGCATGGTAGTGATCCAAGATTTAAAGAGCATGATTTCAACTCAAGTTTGCCTGTTGCTTGTAGTTATTCCACGCTGTTGGGTGCGATGCCTCTGTTTAGATGCTGAAACCCAAAAGAGGGTATTTGTGAGGAAAAAGTGGTTGCTTTGAAGGTAGCCAGGTTGCATGTTGCTTAAGTTTAGGTTCCAGTTCCAGTCGATCACTTTTCCAGGCTGTAGACAAACATTTACGTTGTCTTCTTCATCTGGTGTCCTCCAGATGTGCTGGGAATATTAATTGCAGAATTCTCAGGCACAGTTCTGAGAGTGATTGTGCTGAAAACATTAGGAGAACACCAAGTTGAATTCAGCTCCTGATGACATAGAACAGGGGTACCCAAACTTGGCAACTTTAAGAATTCTGGGAGTTGAAGTCCACAAGTCTTAAAGTTGCCAAGTTTGGAGGCCTCTGGCATAGAATAAATAGAACACAGAAAAACAGGGTTGCATGGTACCTTGGAGGTCTTCTAGTCCAACCCCCTGCCTAAGGCAGGAGTCCTTATTCTATCCTGGTCAAATGGCTGGCTAGTCTCCTCATTGTTCTCACTGTCTCCTTAGTTCTAGGTTGGATCTTAAATGATGTTCCACCTGTTACTTCTTGTCCAGACTTCTTCTCTATATCAACCCCTCAAGTACAGGAAGTACTATGCTGTCACTCTTGTCCTTCTCTTTGTTAAGACATACCTAGTCCCCTCAATTGTTCATTGTATGGTTTAGTCTCCAGACCCCTGGTTCTCTTTGTAGCTCTTCTCTGCACTTTGCACAGTCTCAATATCTTTTCCGTACTAACATGGTGACCGAAACTGGATGCAGTATTCCAAGTGTGGTCTCACCAGTGTAATATAAAGCCGTACTGTCAGTTCATGTGATCTTGAGACTATCCCACTGTTGGTGCAAGCTAGGACTGCATTAGCTTTTTTTGAAAGCTGCAGCACACTGCTGGCTCCTACTGAAGTGGTGATCTATTAAGACGCCCCTAACAGTTATATCAGTGGCTAAGACGCTGAGCTTGTCGATCAGAAAGCCGGCAGTTCAAATCCCTAGTTCCATGTAACGGAGTGAGCTCCCAGCAACTTCTGCCAACCTAGCAGTTCGAAAGCATGTAAATAAAATGTAAGTAAAAAAATAGGGACCACCTTTGGTGGGAAGGCAACAGCGTTCTATGCTCCTTCGGCGTTTCGTCATGCTGGCCACATGACCACGGAGACGTCTTCGGACAGCGCTGGTTCTTTGGCTTTGTAGCGGAAATGAGCACCGCCCCCTAGAGCCGGAATCGACTAGCACGGATGTGCAAGGGGAACCTTTACCTTATACCTGTGCATTTGGTTTTTCTGGCCCAAGTGTAAAAAAACCCCTTATTTTTCTCACCACTGGAATTGTGTTTTGTTGGATAGGGCCCCATGTTCAAGTCTTAAGATCCTTCTGCATCCTGATCCTTCTGAATCTGATCATAATGCTGAACCCATAAAAAGATAAAAGAGAAATCTCTTGAGTTGAGCTCTTGATGACTGCAGAGAAATGTCTACAATGGTTTCTTTGGTATCAGTATGGAAGTAATTTCCTCTTTTCCATTTTTTTTTAAACTTTCCAATCTAGTCTATAAAACCAAAACGTTCTGACTGAGAATCTCTAGAATAGAATAGAATAGAATAGAATAGAATAGAATAGAATAGAATAGAATAGAATAGAATTCTTTATTGGCCAAGTGTGATTGGACACACAAGGAATTTGTCTTGGTGCAAATGCTCTCAGTGTACATAAAGAAAAGATACCTTCATTAAGAGTCAAGAATCATAAGGTGCAACATTTAATAATAGTCATAGGGTACAATAAGCAATCAAATCATACTAGGAAGCAGTCAATAAAAATCGTAAGGATACAAGTGACAAAGTTACAGTCCTACAATCACAAGTGGGAGGGGAGGGGTGATAAGGAGTGATGAGAAGATTAACAGTAATAGTAGCGCAAACTTTGTCAATACTTGGACAGTGCTGAGGGAATTATTTGTTTAGCAGAGTGATGGCATTAGGGAAAAAACTGTCCTTGTGTTTAGTTTTTCTGGTATGTAGTGCTCTATAGTGTTGTTTTGAAGATAGGAGTTGAAATAGTTGTCGATTGAAATAGTTTCTGTCTAGGATGTGAGGGGTCTGTAGATATTTTCACAGCCCTCTTTTTGACATTATACAGGTCCTCCATGGAAGGCAGGTTGGTAGTAATTCTTTTTTTCTACAGTCCTAATTACTCTCTGAAGTCTATGTCTGTCCTGTTGGGTTGCAGAACCAAACCAGACAGTTATAGAGGTGCAGATGACAGACTCAATAATTCCTCTGTAGAACTGGATCAGCAGCTCCTTGGGCAGTTGGAGCCTTCCAAGTTGGCGCAGAAAGAACATTCTTTGTTGTGCTTCTTTGATGACTACCAAGCATCCCTAACCTTGCTTAGTTTTTTTGAGATCAGCCAAAAACAGCTGGAGTGGTGCTGTATCATGAACGATATGCGGAATGTCTTCTGCCCTTAGCCAATCCATTTGATTACTGGATTCCCAGTGTTAAATCTGCCGCCATCAATCATATATCATCAACCTAACCAACAGACTGATGAGAAAGGAATGGATTTCCAAGGATCGTAGATTCTGCAGCTAAGGGCGGTAGAATAAACAGAACGTTCTATTCTTCTTCTGTCCTTAGCTACAGAATCTATAGTCCTTGGACATCCATGGTTTTCTCACTAGCCAGTTGGTTAGGTTGATCATATGGCTGATGGCAAAAGATTTAACGCTGGGAATCCAGTAATCAAATGGATTAGCAGGAGAGGTGCCCAAAGTAGGTGTGGGGTATAGGGTTGTGTAGAACCAAACCATTAGTTTCCGTTCTACTAATGACCTCTTTTCTAATTTACTCGCACCCTCTTTTTTTCTGAAAAGGAGGTGGGCTTGACATCTGAAGGAGAGTATGAAGTGGGCATATGACAGAGCAATACAGGTGGTCCTGGATGGCACTCCCTCACTAAAAGTCTGTAGAGATTCTCCGTCAACCTGGTCATGGTTGTCCCAAAGATGCTTTTTTCAGGAGGCAACTGGATTTCCTGGTTTTTTTTTTCTTTTGAAGACTTTTTGCTTCTCATCCAAGAAACTTCTTCCACTCTGGCAAGATAGTGTCAGGATAAGATACAGACCCCCTT